ATTTGTCATTTAATACAGGCAACAACCGGAAGACAGAGAAGAAGAATAGACTGCGTGATATAAAAATAATGGGCATACCTCCACCCCTCGATAGTTATCGCTGACTCAGCCATGTTTATGCAGCACTGCACGTGGAGATGTGGACGCGCAAATCGCGCAGATTACGTACATATAAACCTACAAAGTACTGATATAGTAAATTAAAAAATAAATGATTATTTTTGTGTAGTTGTATATTGAAAAAATAATGTATGGTTGTCACAAAATCCCACGGCACACCCGGACTTGCCTCACGGCACACCAGTGTGCCGCGGCACACCGTTTGGTAACGGTGGTAACTCAGATGCTTACATGGACTTGTATGTTTTTTTCCTTCATATCTAACAGAAATAAGAGAGAAAGAGATGGGAAAGTGAGTAAAGAGGGATAGGAAGAAGAGAGAGGGATGAGAAAGAGACAATAGAAAGTGATGGGGAAGTGCGTAAAGAGGGATAGGAAGGAGGAGAGATATTTGCGAGTTGCATACTCACTCTGAGTTTTCTCGATTAATAGCTTATATAGACAATACCATGCTTAGATAGACTCCTAAGTTATTATTTCATATGTGACAATATGTAAGAAAAGAGGGGAAGAGTCAAATTATATTGAGAAATTGAGCAATTGATTTCATATTGGAACATTCATTTCTCAAACCTATGTTTTATGGAAGAGGAAATGTACTTCTGATAAACTAATCCTTGATCAAACGGTAAATGGTGAATTAATATAACATTTATAATCATTAAGAAAGGGTTATTCCACAGGGACTAGCTCACATTTAACTTAAAATAACATGTATCTGCTTTGGACTGATGAGTATATGATTCTTGCATGTTAAATGACTAACACAAACCTTACATTTATAATGTGTCAGGAAGGCTCCCAAATCATTCTGAGGGGGCCTATCCTATTTTTGTAATTGAATGATAATGTGCTAATCCATTACCTTGAGTTGTCTGCACTCAGGAAAACATCCCTATCAAGTGTTAACCCAATAACTAGGACAGCTCTGAAGGCCAAGGGTCAGAGAGAGAGGATCACACTCTGCGGCTGCAGAGAGCAACTTATCCACGGGCAAGGAGGTCGTTCGAGATGAGAGGATTCTAATCTTCAACTTTCTGATGAGATGGGATGCTTCTTCATCTTTCTGCTCAGTGAGCTCAGGCAGACAACTCTGCAGGACGAGCGATGGTTTCAGAGGCGTCATACAAGGTTGCATGTTTCTTGGAGGAGCAGATGTTTTCATAACCTCTCCCATCACGGGGGGGGGGCATCTGGATGTGCCACTTGGAATAGGCACTGCTCTCAAGCAGATAGCAGAAGGAATGCAGGCAGATGAGCCTCTGTTTCACTGGGAGATCATAAAGTGCTCACTGAATTTAGCCACAAAAGCAGAGCAATTGGGGGGGATTGAGATATGGCGCTCTGATGAAGAAGAGTTTTGAGCCAATCAGCACCTCAGTGCTAATCTACAGATAATTGAGTTATGGCGCTCTGATGAAGACGAGTTTTGAGCCAATCAGCACCTCAGTGCTAATCTACAGTATCAGGATGCCTTTACACACCAGACATTCTGTGTCATAAAGAGAGGAGGAAAACATGTTCTTCTAGCTCTCGTACAAAGATAACATTTGAATTGAATGACCAGATGATTAGATTATTAATTAATTGATATTATCAGATTTATAAGGTATTGAACAATAAGATATTTCTAATATTATAACAGACAATGTTACTATCCTTAATCATTACCAGGTAAAACAGATGTTTTGATATTGATTACAGTTGATGCTCTGAATAAAGAACAGATGTTTTGATATTGATTACAGTTGATGCTCTGAATAAAGAACAGATGTTTTGATTTTTTCCTTTTCAGGTCGTTTATACAATAAAATGTTTGATTCTTCAGATTGTTAAACATTTTGAGAATTGTTTAGTTTTCCCTTCAGATTTTGAGATGACATAATGATTGATAGTTGAAGTCTGATTTATACCTCAATTGGATTTATTATAAATCCTAAATTCTAATTGTGTTTTAATAAGTAATTGCCTTGAAGTAAATCTTTGTAAGCTGATTTAGAATTTGTGTTTGATGAATGAGATTAACTGAGTGATAAATGATAAAATATCTTATTTTTGAAACATATATTTTGCTATAATATTGTTGTATTTCACGTGTTTATTATTGTGCCTTTTGACAAAAGATGCCAAGCACTGAAGAGAGATGATTTTTATTATGATTGACTGTGTTCAATCAGGGTGATTGAAATGTTTTCAATCTTGTTCTATTTTTAATGTAATGAATGTATCTGGGCCCACCCAACTCTGAGGACGCCTATTGATTTTAAGTATTGACTGAAATATTCTTAGACTAATGTTAATTGGTTATCAATAGATTGATAAAAAGAGTGAATCTGTAAGAGAATATTTTCATCTGATCTGTTTATAGAGTCTCTTATGGTTTTATAGAATCTGTGATACTGCAAACATCTGCTTGTAGTCAGTCAAAGACTCCTGTGTAGGTTGAGGCTTGTCTGGATCTCTTTGAGACAAGTAGACTATTGTCTCACATCTGCTACTAATTAGGTATACGCAGGCTTTCTGGGAGCCCGCCTCTCCTCGTGTTGGTTAGAGGTTTTGTGTCTTTTGGTTCAGAGATTACCTTGGTGGAGCACAAGGACAGTGTGAAACTAGGATGATCTCCCGGCCGTATGTAATTGTCTGTCTCTCAATAAATATCAGTGTATTGACAGGTGAATCCAGTTTCCCTCATTTGATGATTGGCTCAACATTGCTGCAAAGAAGTTTTAACTTCACACATATGTTAACTATAAAACAGTTATTGGACCTAGTGCAGCCGGGCGATTGGTTCACAACCATCGACCTGAAGGACGCTTACTTTCATGTCGAAATTGCTCCAGAGCACAGAAAGTATTTGCGTTTTGCCTTCCAAGGGATAGCCTACGAGTACAACAGACTACCGTTCGGCTACTCCCTATCCCCACAAACGTTCAGCAAATGTGTGGCCACAGCGCTTCAGCCGCTTCGCGACCATGGCATGAGGGTTTTATTGTATCTGAACGACCTCATAGTCATGGCCAGGTCCAGGGAATGGGCAATGTTTCAAACAGCCCAATTGATCCTAACCAAGTTGGGTTTTGCGGTCAATTGGAAGAAGAGCAAAACGTGATCCATCTCTTTAGTTTGTGTCAACCACAGACTTTTTTTCCAGCTATTTTCCAAAATCCTTTGGAGAAATCCCATTGACTCTGAGACGAGGGAACCGGTAATGGTAAAATGCTAACTCACTTCCGGCTTTTAGGACTCGTCACTGCACCACCAGTGGGCAGGGTTGGTATGGTTACTTTAAAATGGTATTCTGTTGCAATTACTAATTACCTGTTAAAAAAATTATCAAGGTATATCAGATTATAAAAGTATTGTAATTTAATTACTGTCCTTTAAAGGTCCCATGTCATGCTTTTCCGGTTATTACCCGTCCCCTTGTGTGTTATGTAGCTTTTTATGCATGTGAACGGTCTGCAGAGTCAAAACCCCTCAAAGTACACCCTGTAGCGACCTGTCTATGCTGACCCAGAATGCCTCGTTGGAGATTTTTCTTTTTCCATTTTTCTCTTCCTGGTCTAAGTGATGTAACGACGACCAAATGGACCAATCCGTGGAGCTCCTCACACACACACGCTCACTCAGCCTTATATTTTCTCAGCCGCGCTACTCTGCGGAGTTTCGCCGGCACACACACTCACTCAGCCTTATCTTTTCTCAGGCTGTGAGTGGGTGGCGAACTGTGTGGCGAACAGCCTGGCTGTGAGTGTGTGCTCAGGCTGAGTTCCGCGATGTCTCGCTGTCTCGCAGATCCCACGCAGCAACCAGTAAACGACACCAGTAATACAGCTCACACTGTCCGCTCCTCGATCGCCAAAGGGCGGAGCAGCGAGCCCCGCAACGTCCCGCCAACACGGCACCCAGGGTGTTTCTCAATGTCGAGGAAGGCTCCTCCAGAGCCACTATTTCAAGGATGCTACTGTACGTCATCGAGTCCCGCCGAAGGACTGTTCCAATGTCCAGGCTCCTTGGAATTCTACCGAGGCTGGCGTCCTTCGTTGCAGGAAATTTCGAGGGTGCACATGTGTATCCTCTGCGGTCTTAAAATCCCCACAATGCTTTGCGCACAGACCAATTTCCAAAATCTTTGGCGGAAAATGTAAGGCGGGGCCTCTCATATGACGCACACCTGCACACCTGTTCCGACCATTCTTCGATTTCCAAGGCTAGGAAGGATTCTTGCCTCGCTTCTGAAGGACCTGACTCGGAAGACATGTCCTACCAAGGAAGCATCCTCGACATTGAGAAACACCCCCAGACCCCACGCAGCATTCTCATCTGTTTGTCATTACTGGTGTCATTTCCTGGTTGCTAACAAACGCCATTGTAACACATAATCACTGATGTTCCGCTGTAACGGTGGTGGATTAATCAGAACAGAGTGGGCGAGCTGACCAATCAGAGCACAGTGGGCTCATAGGGAGGGGGGGGGGGCAGGAGCTCCAACAAGCCGTTTAGGACAGAGAGTGAATACACATACTATACAGAGTATACATTTTTGTTTAACAAATCAGGAATTTGATTTATGGGATTGCAAAAACAGTGAGCAGTGAGCTCTGTGAAGAGGAGACTGTCTACCAGAAGAAACCCAGCTAAACGCTGCCTTGATTAAACACCATATTATGTTCCAAACCACATCAAGCATTATTTCTGAAACAGTATGGAGCTCAAACGCTTTCTCTCCTAGCGCAGAATACACCCTTCCTGATCCAACTCAACACATTTGACACTTGAGTTAAAAAACATTGACGATGCATGATCTGAGAACACAGGGTTATTCGGCTGTTATCAGTTTAATTAAGGACCGTCAATATATCTGGTTTCATCCACTGCAGGTAATCGTGATTGGAGCAGGGCAGAACAGCTTGCCAAAGGGCTACCAGGAGAAGCTGAGAGCCATCAAGACCAACATGTATGAAGGTCCTCTACCCATGATGGCTAAACTGGAGCAAGTCAGAAGAAGAGCCAAAGAGAGGGCCAACCAACGCTCTGATGCTTGATAATCTATCCAAATCCAGATCCACTGTAAACTATGGGAACGTCTGTGTAAACACTGTAGCTAACATAATACTGTAGTGTAGTAGAACAAGTTCATATTGAATAGTTGCACCTACTTGGCCAGCCTGGTCTCTGGTCATAAGTCAACCACCTACAGCATGTAGCATTCATGCACAGATGACAATAACATTTGCATTTTGACAGCGTAAAGGTGCGATTTACACCTACATGGAACCATAACAAACATAATACATTTTCTTTTAATATTTGTTCAATATATTTCAAGGCTAATTTCACTTTGAGTCATGGACAACAAAAATATTCCCTACATTTCCAGACCATTGTGGCATGGCACTGCAGTTAAAGAGTCATTCTTAATAATGTGTCACTTCTTCTCCACAGTACCAATCTATGATATTTTGAAATTCAAAAACAGTGGCTATAATTCATGTTAAAGGAAAGTATGCATTGTACAGTAATATGTGTGGTGCCACCTGTCATATCACCAACTGTAACATTATTGGAAACATTATAAAAAAAGGTTTTGTCAACAGAGACTCAACTTCTTTATTTTCTTTCACTTAAATAACAAAATGATGAAAACAAAACCCTGCTTGTAAGGGAATACAGGTTTTTCATATCCTGATTACGTAATTCATGTGTTTCACGCTGGCTCCTGTGGCTCTGACTGCTGAATGTCCCTTGTTTCCGGATGGAAGGTTTGCTGGAGGTCTCTCCAACCTCTTGCAGCTGAAGAAATGCACTCTGTTGGTGCATGTAGAGGAAGAGAGGGGCTACAGCCTCTGGTTCAGTGTAGATAAGACAAATAAGATTGAGAACATATTTCACCTGAATCTGCACTGATGTTTTTTTACAGTTTGCTGCAAAATGTCTGAGCCTGTTTCCATATGGTGCTTATTAACTGGAAATGTGCAGGTGATATTTTGGTGTTTGACCGGCCCCAGCTCCCTCCTCGAGAGCTGGGCCTTGTAAAATTGACGGTGGAAATCATGTCCTCCTCATCCCCCTCTGCCAGGCAGGCTGCTCTGAAGCATTCCCCCTGCAGAAACGCTCCATTCACTTCTCACAGTTTGTTTTCCGAATCTCTTAACCACCCAAGCAGATGTGTGACCGAATCCCAAATAAACATAGCATCTGCAACAGAGGGACGTATCTAGGACACAACGTTGTTCTGTCTGTGGGGAACAAGGCAAAACAGATTCTTCTGTGCAGCTGCAGCTGGCGGTCACATGGCCTCCAACGGTGCAGAGCAGGAGCCTCCACACCGGCCTACAGGTTATTAAATGCCGATTTACTGTAATAAATGCACTATTTGCCATTTGATTTGAACTGTTTAACAAATAAGCCAAGAGGCAGCAATATAACATTTGTGTTTGTATAATAGCTACTCAATGTATCCTGGATTCCTTTGGAGCTAAGACATAAGCGCTATACTGTGTGTCAAGATTCATTTAACTACATGAACAGAGGGGGACGTTTGTCAGGAAGTTCAGCATCAGATGTGGACGAAGGTTATGAAGACACAGTAATAAAGCTTGTCCCCACTGCCGCCTTTTCTGATGTAATCTTAACAACCAAACTATAGTAACCCCCTTTGAGTGTTGCCATGAGTTGTCATGTTTACTGTTAGCCCTGATCTGCCACCATTAAATGTACTTTCTAATTCTCAAAGTACACACAAAGCACACAGGCTGCTGTGTATACCATGCATGTATGATTTTCAAAAGGTATAGCAAACATTATGGTTTGAGTTTAAAAAAACGTTGCTAAGGTAAGGTTACCTTTGAAGTCATCTGGATGTATAGTTAGTTATGACTGTGACAATCATGATCCTGTTAAAAAATGACTCTTGGTTGGTGAACAAACTGCAACCCGTTCTACAGTATACAGAACATTTAAAGGTCACCTATTATGCTATATTTGAACAACAATATATTATAGGGCCATATCTATAAAAAACATGTCTCTGAAGTGTTTTGCTCAAAATACCAGAAACATCAGCCATTCTAGCCATGCCTCATACCGCTCTATTTCAGCCCTGTTACAAAAGTGCTGATTCTGGGTCTGGCCCTTTAAGAGGGAATTTCTCTCCAACACACTAGTTACTCTCGGAACACAGTGACATCACTATGTTACACTCACGCTTCTATTGGGTAGCGCTCCAACACATTATAGGTGACATACTACGGGGCATTACGTTTCCGACACATCTCTAAGTGGTTGACTAATCACAACAGAGCCGGCCAGCTAACCAATCAGAGCAGACTGGGCTCTGGTTTCAGACAGAGGGGGAAAAGAGGTGCTGCAGCACAGGCAGTATGAGAAAAATAAAGAGCTTTTTGAACATTAAAGCATGGAGCAAAAATAAACATGAAGCACACTATATCCTCTTTTAAAGTTATTGTAACATTGTTATCCTGCTGAAAATCCCTATTTGAAAAAAAATGGTACCAGTGATAGGATGACTTATTTTTCTGTATCCTTATTACGCAATTCCATTGTACATATTTGTTACTCCTAAGGCCTGATAATAATGTAGTTTGGCCCCTTGCCCTTCTTTACTGTAAGCAACCATGTTAAGATGTTAGTATTTAATCTCTGCCTAGGGTTCTGGGAACCTGCTCCACCCAGTAATTATCTGACAGTGTCAAGACATTTTGTTCAAACTCGAATCAAACAGCAGGAGCCGACTGTTGCATGAAGAGTCTGTCAGGAGAGATTTCTGGAACCCAGACTAATGGAATTCTATTAGAGCTTGTTCCTTTTGTGCTTATTCAATGGATGAGAGACGGGGCTTGAACTATAAAGTTGAGTTGAAGTATGAAAAGTGTTAAAGCAATTACACATAGAAGTTTTTCTCATCATTTCATGAAACAAACAAACCAGGGATCCTGTCATGTCACACAGCCTATACAGTCCTCAATGTTAAGCCTTTTAGACCCCGACATGCACTGAAAACATTGTGTCTGCTGTGGGCTGGACTCAACAACAGTTAAGTGGGACACAGCAGGAAACCACACATGGACCATTACACAAGTGACCAGCATGCAAGTGATTTACAGTTTGCTTTGTGGGAGTCTCTTTATTAGAGAGACTATTCAATGAAAACAGTTCAGAGTGGGGTGTGTGGATTATCCACAGCAACATGGACATTGTGATCTTTTCCAGTTGCTTTCGGCACTATTTACATCAATTTCTTGGCGATGGAGGCAGATAAAAATGCACAGCAATAGATAGATGGAAATGAAGAGAAAGTGAGAAAATGTGTATTTTTCAAATTAAAACCTTTACTATTTAATTTCATCAAAATCACAAACAAATCTCATGATAACTAACCATACAAACGGGTTGCTACCAATACCGTTATTCGAGTTTTTCTCCAGTTACACTCCAGCATAACATTAACATGGCTAACTGATATCTGATCTATTGTAATTGGCTCTATCGGTTCATGTCCTGCTCTCTTTAATCAATAATACCCTGATATTGGGTTATTCATCAGCTTATTTTAAACAACAAACACTAAAATTATCAAATCTTGACTTTTTTATATATATGTCCATGGTTTGAAGAGGTGAAGGCAATTCTGAACTTCAACCCACTTGGATATATCTTTGGACGTATCAGACAGTGACCCAGTAATTCCCAATCGTTGTAGCTGACCCCCTGGGCAAGCTAGAAAAAATGACCTTCCATCACTTCAAACATGACAAAAATGGAGAGGGGAGAACCCACATTTAAACGCATTTAAATAATCACTTTAGTAGTTTATACTTGTTAGCTGTACTGTTCTTTTTACATTAGTGCTGAAGTTATTTGTTCATTCTCATGCTCAAAGTAGTTGTGTTTGAAGATAAGTATATATAAATAAACATTGATTGATAAGTGCATTTACTTGAATATAATTATTGTGATAAGAACTATGATGTCATGACTTGTTGAGGTTTGTTAAATAAAATATTAAAGGTAGGGTAGGTAATTCACTTCAGAAACACTTTTTGTTATATTTCATGGAATGCTCTTAGCATCCCGATAGCAATGAATATATGAAATGCTTTGACAATAAATATATACAAATATTTCATCTGTGGAAGCCGTAGCACTGTAAAAAGCACGACCAATCATGTGCCTCGGCCCGCAGCAGATAATTGGATGGCCTACCTGCCTGTCAGCCTTCCATCTTGTGCACAAACTTATCTCGTGCCCTCATTGGTCATGTGTGCGTTCGTGTGTGTTGGAGGAGGGGCTCTGTAAGGAAGTCTGAAGGAAGGGGCAGATTTTTTCAGTTGTGTACTTTCAGATTCTAGCGCACTCGAGCTGGTTTCTCCATTCTTACCTACCCTACCTTTAGTTTAAAGGATGTAAATGTAAATTCAATATTTGAAGCCAAATAATTTGCAAAATATTAAGATTTGTGTGGAAACATTTTCATTATTAAGATTCTTTTTTATTTTAACCTATTTTCCTTTCTCTTTCTTGATCCTCCTAAGCAACGGTCATTACAGTCCTTGACAGCGGTCTGTTCTACTGGATTTACAACGTGTCACATATTCTGAATTGACCAATCAGAATGATAGTTACAGCTGTAACTACAGTTCTATGAGTCCCGGATGACCGCCAGAGGCGGTGCTTTAGCACTGGATATATCCATCGCACGCATGCGCAGTTCGAGTACTAAAGCAAACAGATATTGTTCTAAACTGTATTAAAGTAAACAGGTATTATCTTGAACTGTATTGAAGTGAACATGTATTATTTGGGACTGTTTAAAGTAATCCTATATATATATAAACCTTCTTACCTACACTCCATGACCCAGAGACCCTGACACACACACATACACCTCCTCCTGTCTTCATGCAGCACACACACATAAACTCCTCAACCCAGATGTCAGCAACACACACACATATGCCTCTGCTTATCAGCATGCACACACACACACACACACATACACTTTCCCTCACTAACACACACACAC